CTCCTAAATCACTTGTACGCACAATTTAAGAACAAATCTGTGCGTACGAACGGTTCTTGCATGAGGCCCATTGTGCTTAAAGAGAAAAAAATATGTAAAGTGTTTGGCCAGTAAAAGTTCATTTAAATGTAGGAGGATTCACATTGGACTTAATAAACTAACTAACTGACTGACTAAGTGGTAAGGAAGGACTGACCTTTTCTGAGATGGTTGGCCCACAGGAAGCACTTTGTCTTCATAAAATCGCTTCATGGCAAACCTGTCCAGAGCCTGGTCAGCGCTGCAATCCAACACAAATGTCTGATAAGTTCATACTTTTTATGCACCATTTAAAATAATAATAATATTCCAGGAAGAGGAATRAAAGAAGGAAGGGAAGAAGGAAGCATAGCAGGAGTGAAAGAAGGAAGAAAGGATGACAAACAAAAAAATAGTTCAAAACATACAGGGTAGATGATAAATGTGGATACAATGCAAAATGTAAACGATGAGCTAAATTAAAGAAGAGAAAGAGCAAAGAAACTCAGAGATCGTGTATCAAAATCTGCCTGCCTTACAGAAGGAAAAAGCTGAAACATTACTGAAACAACGGCTAGAATCGATGCCCTCAAAAAAAAAAAAATAAGAGAGAGAACAGGAGGATACACAAATTCAAGGAGCTTTAATGCAGAAATCCATGGCTGCATACAGAGAAACTCAAATAAAATGCAAAACATTAGCAAAAATTCACCAGGAAATGTATGAGAAAGAAAGGAAAAAAAGCTCAGATGGAGGAGGAAGGGTTGGCTATCGATGTTGAAGAACCCAAGAGAAAAAGTAAAGAATTAAAAAATACATTGTTTTGACTACAATAAAGCAGTTGCTGCACAAAAAGCAGCCTGAGCTAAAAAGCTGAAAACACAACAACAAATGGCTGAATGTTTTCTCCTCGTGTATGTGTGGTTTTCTCTGGGTACTCTGGTTTTCTCCCGCGAACAAAAAACAAAAAAACAACAACAAAAAAAAAMCATGCACAACAGGTTGCCTTCAGGCCCAGGCCTGCCTTGCAAAAGAGATCTGTGATCGCAATGGGATTCGCCTGGTTAAATAAAGGTTAATAAAAATAAAACAAACCTTCTTACCTGGCAGAAATATTGCTGTAGTGCATGTAGGCTGCCACCACCACTCCGGTTCTGCCTCGGTTGCCCTGAGAAACAGACCAGTGAAGCACCAGTAAGCTAAAGCGGTTTTATTACCACAACACCATTAAGATTCCTGCAGCAGTGAAGGCTCTCACTCCATAAAATTCAATAAAATCAGGCAACATTTAAAAAACTAAAGTTATTAGAAAAAATTGATAAAGTTCATGTAGAAGCTAAAAC